AGTCTGGATCTCGGGGCAGCTGGACAGGCTGCAGGGCCCCTGCTGAGGCCACAGATCCAGGCCTGCTCAGTGCCCCGTGCAGGCTCAGGTGGTCTCTGGGTCCCCTAAGTCTGCTTAAATAACTTGAGGCAATCAAAGTGAGTCTGCGAAAGAAGCAGGAGCGGGCATGCTACTGAGCGAGCAAAGGGTTCTGCGCCCAACACGCGAGACCTGACGTCATCACGCGAGACCTGACGTCATCACGTACTCAGGCTGAGGGCACTTGCTCTCACTGCTCCCTCTCCCACCCCTCGCTGGGGTCCTTCTCTTTCTTGCTCCTGCTCAATCCCCCTCTCCTGGGTTTCCCCCCATTCCAGACTTCAGCTCAGTCCTAGTCACAGGGGGGGGGGATCTGTGTGTCCCAAAATACAACCCCCCCAGCCTCAGGCTCCTTCTGTGGGGTCTCTAGCCTCACCCAGTGCATGGTGATGACACAACCTTAGTGGCTTATCAGAAGCTGCATGTAACCCAAGAGGCTGGGCCTATCAGAACCAAACATCTCTGTATAAACTAGCCAAATAGCTCTTCCTGCAGGACTTAAAGAAACGGATCCTGCCACTTTCTGAGAAAGCCTTCCCGGTAATGCAGCAGGTAAGGCAACCAGCAGCCTCCTGAATACCGTGTGTGGGCACCGGAGCAAGCTATGCCTGAAGCCTAACCTTCCGGACTTTTCAGATACATGAACCAAAAGGTTCTTTGTCACTTCAACTGGTTTCATCTGGGGTCTTTATTACTGGCCAGAAGAGAGCGGTGGGGAATCCCAGGACATGTCTCTTTCGTGCCTTTGCAGGTGACACCAGGATGCAGTTTCCCTCCTGTGCCGTCCTGCCCCCTGCTGCAGGCCAGCTCTGTACCCACAGACCCAGCTGGGAGATGCACTCCTGCGATGACAGAGCCCCGCTCCACGAATCAGAAGCTGCTTTATTGTAGCAGGAAGGTTTCCCTTAGTTATCCCCGTCCCGTGTCACATGACATTGTCTAGGGTCACTATCACATACATGTGCCCACCACAGGCATATTTATTTAAATATTTATTTACTGGTGCATACAAGAACTGGGGAACAGGCCAGTGGTGGGGGGTGAAAGGATTCAGCAGAGACAGTAGGGAGCAGAATAGACAGACTGACTGAAATCCAGGCTGGGGCTTGACTCGTGCTGCAGGGGCTGTGGAGAGCTTTGTAGTGCTGCATTTTATTGTGCTACCAGGTTTAATCTCTCTGAAGTCTCCTCTGGTGAGGAGAGTAGCCTGTGAAGGACCCCAGGGACGGACGCCTGGGGTGGGCGACAGGGCAGAGCAGGGTCACTCACGGCCAGGCGGGCAGCTTCAGCTGCCATCACTTACTGTGGGTGGGACAAAGAGGCCCCCACGGCGGGCTCCTGCCTTCTGCAGGGAAACCCAAGAATGGAAGTGACCCCAGTGGTGTGGCCCCAATGTGCTGCCTCCTACGGGGAGCCGGTCAGGGCTGGGTGCTCCCACGCGAGTCTGAGGCCCCGGGCCCCAGGACGTCCTTCTGCTCCCTGAGGTGCTGGGGCGGACAGGTGCCGCCTCCCTGTCTGGAGCCCCAGGCACCAGCAAGTGCCACCTACACTCCACCCCTTCTTCTGACTCCCCCGAGCCTCCTCTGGGCCCCAGCGCAGCACCCAGCAGCCAGGGAGCTGGACCCTCACACCTGCAGGCTGGATCGTGAGGTGTGCGGCTGCTGTGGACATGGTCGGGCCTCACAGTCACTGTCCAGCCCGGGGACTGCGCGCCAGCAGCACGGGGACGCTGGTCTGGACCCAGCTGGGCACAGCCACAGCAGCCCAAGGTGGAGCGGGGGCGCAGCACTGGCGTGAAGGGGGCAGCCCCGGCAGTCGCGGCCACGCGCAGGGGCCCAGCGGAGAGCCAGACAGCGGGCCAGGCGGCGCAGGCCACGGGCGAGACCCGTCCCGCACAGGCACAGCCACAGGCAGGGTGGAGTCGGGGCTGGGGGATGGGGTTTCTGGGGTGATGGAACTTTCTGGAGTTGGATAGGATGGTGACAGTTACAGAGCTCTGAATATGCTAAGATTCACTGAATTGCACACTTTACGTGGGTAAACTGCACAACACGCGAATCACATCTCAATACAGCAGTTAAGAGAATAAAAAAGACAATCGTGAGTTTACAAGAATTGGCTGGCAAGGCCCACAGCTGATGCTGCCAACCCCGCTCGCCGCCCCCCCAGACGTCCGCGCCTCATTCTCACCTCAGGCCTTCGCACGAGCCACTCTGGACCGGAGCCCTCGTCACCAGACACCCCCAAGTCCGACTTCCTCCCTGGGTCTGCGCTCAGCGTCCTCGCAGTGCCCCTCCGTGGTGACACCCCGCTCTGATCGTGGTGACACCCCGCTCTGATCTCACACCCACCGCGCAGACTCACTGCCCATCTGTGCCCGCGCTGGTCTGATCAGCAATGTGAGGGAGGCCTAGAACAGCATGTGCTTGGCGAACACTGACGGAGGGACGGGTGGGCGGGCGGTGGACAGAAAGGGGGGGGAGGTGGACGGGAGACGACGGCGGGTAGCAGGACGCACAGACGGATGCACGTGAGCCACGCTCAGAGCACAGCAGGCGGACCGCGCCATCGCCAGCCCCGGGGGAGGGGGGCGCTGTCCCGAGGGCCCCCAGCGCTGCTGGTCTCTCCCCACAAAGGCCGCTGGACGCGTGACCCTGCGGAGAGGCGCCGCCATCGGGACGTCCTGTCCCTGCAGAGCGCACGCCCGAGCCTGGGGCAAGGGGCAGACGGAGGCGCGCTTGGCGCAGAAAACCGAGCAAGGCGCGCTTGGCGCAGAAAACCGAGCAATCCCGCACACGCCGGGGCGGGGCGACGGGCCGGCTGCGGTCGGGGTCTCCGAGCGTGGGCCCCGGAGGGGACGGGGGCTTGTGCGCGACTCGGACTTCTGGGATTACGCCAGAACGAGCGAGACTTCCGGCACGTGGCGAGGTGACTTTCCGGGCCCGAGGCCCGCGTGGACGTGGTGCGCACAGGAGCTGTGCTCACACGCGCTGACGCTCACGACGGCGGCGCCCTCACCCCACCTGGCTCCGGAGCTTTCCGCCCTCCGAGGAACCCCCACGCCCCCGGCGACCCTCTCGGCGCGCCCTGCCGTCCCCGGTTTAGGGTCCCTCTAGAAATATCCCAGCCCATCTTGACCAGGCTCCCTGGGGACCCGATCCCCAGGGGGGCGGGGGACACTGACGGGGCACTGGGGTTGTTTCCGGTCTGTCGAGGCCGGCCCCCTCACCTGCCTCCAGGACTCAGGAGCAGGAGTCGCGCCAGGGGCCGGAGGGGGCCTCGTGCTGCCGCCCGACTCCCTCCCTGCCAGGGCACACGCAGCTCGCCGGCGCCCTTCACAGGGCCAGGCAAAGTCTCTTTGGACAAAAACAGGCAGCCACCTACACACCGAGTGTGACAGAAGCGCCTCACTCAATACCGCACGGCGCCCAGAACCCACCTCACCCTTTCCGCGTGATCGCTACCGGCCGCTTTGCTCACTGCAAACAGTCATGCAACAAAATGCACCACCTTCGCCATTTTCCAGGGCTCAGCCAGCGGCATCACGCGCGCTCACAGCGGTGCAGATGCCCCACCTCCAGTTCCAGAACTTTCTCCTGCCCGAAATGGAGCTCCCTGCCTCTCCCAGCCCGCCCCCAGGGCACCTGCTTCCTGCCTGGGCACCCTGCAGGCTCCCACAGCAGGCAGTATCAGCCCTGGCCTGTCCATGTGGCCGGGGCCACCCCTTCCGAGGCTGAAGCACATTTTGTCAGTCATTCATCTGTCAACGAGTATTTGCTTCTTACTTCTGATCGTCAGGAATAAAGACCTCAGGAAGGCCGTGCGTGGCAGAGCCGTGTGGGCTGTCGGGCAGCGGGCGGGGCTGGCTCCCGCCGCACCCCCAGCCGCCGCTCAGACCATAGCTGGGCAGCTCCATTCTGGCCGCAGGGCCGATGTAGGGCACGTTATTTTTGGCTTAGCAACAGCTTCAGTTCTGATGCTACGTCTCAGAAGTAGCCAGACACAGGCAAAGCTACGAGCGTGGCTGCCACACAGACGGGCGGCCGTGGGTTTGGTCTCTGAAGACACAGGTCTCCTGGGGCTGCAGTCCTCACGCCCACGGCTGGCTCCCCCACGTGGCCCGTCACACCGCGTGACCCACGGCAGCTCACACTTGGGTCACCCCCTCAGCTTCAGCAGTGCTCAGCTCACTCTGACAATGCCCTCAAGCCAGCAGGAGACACCCCTGACCCTGGACGCCTGGCCTGGACCTGTGCGGGGTTCCAGGGCTCCGGTGCCCCAAGGACCAGGAGCTCCGCAGCGTTCGTGAGGGACGGCTGAGGGGCGGCCCGGGAGGCGCCCACTCAACGCAGCCCAGCGAGGGCCTGCAGCCCCACACAAGGCCAGCACTCCAGGCTGCAGACTCGGACATTACGACAGCCACGTGCAACCTTCCGTCACGGCAGGGTCCTGCCATAGAAGAAACGCGCCACGGAAGCTGTGTGCGGCCGGCGCTCGTGGCCGCCGGGGCCCGCCCCGGCCTGTGGCCTGCTGGGGAGAACCTGCCCGTTGGCCCATCTCTGCCGGTGAGAGGAGGCCCAGGCTGAGAAAACAGGGACTCGCCGAGGTCAGGCCTCGCCCGCCGGGCTCAGCGGCTCAGGCCACGGGGCCTGCCGACGGCACTTCAACCTGCTCCGGCCACGCCGCACTTGCCCGCCACACAGCACCCAGGCGACAGTGGCGTCCCCGCCCCGACAGCAGGTGCCCCAACAGGAGACCTCCCCAGGCCAGCGGGGCTTCCTCTGACCTCTATGGCCCCTGCCACCGAAGGGCGGGGGAGTTTCCAGGCGCCCACGCTGGCAGGGGGACACGGGCAAGCAGGGCCCGGGACAAGCCACGCTCTGCAGTCCGGGGGTGGGTCAAGGAGTGGCTGGTTCTCTGGCTTCTCATAAAGTCCTTTTATTTAGATTCCAAACACACCAAAGCAGAGAGGTGACCGAGGTTCACGTGTCCACTTGAGAGCTGGGGCTCCGAGCTCCGGCTCTGGCCAGGGGCCCTGCGGCCAGGCACGAGTCAGTCAGGTGACCAGCACAGGAGGGCCAGAGGGACACGTGGCAGCGGCCCCCTCTCCGAAGCAGAGGAAAATCCAGAACAAGCAGGAAAGGTGAGAGCAGGAGAGAAGCCGAGGGACCGCGCACACCTCCTGTGAGGTAGTCTCGGCGTCAGGAGCCCCAGGGGCCCACACAGTCTGGGCCTGGTGAGGTAAAATCTGTAAGTTTATTCGGGGGATGTGGTGTCAGGACTCCTCGTTGCCAGAGTCGTCCTCATCGTCCCCGAAGCAGCTGTCGGCCTCGGCCTCGGCCTCGCCGTCCTCGTAGTAGTCGTCGTAGAACAGGTCGGAGCCCTCGTCGGGCGCGGGCGCCTTGGTCTTCACGCAGTACTCGGCCAGTGTGGTGGGCACCTTCACGCCGTCCCGCTCCGCGTCCACCTTGGTCCCCAGGACCTGCTTCCTGGGGACAGAGGGGCAGGGCTCAGCATCACAGAGGGCTGTCCCCACAGGACCCCACAGCGGGCGGCGCGCTCGGACAGCGCGCACACGCGGCCCTGCCACCGCCACCCTGAGACGCTCCACGGGGCAGGCGCCGCCGGGCCAGGCCGAAACTCTGCCCCCAACGGCCAGCAGGCCGCCCAGACAGACCATCGGGGGGTTGGGCAGCAGTCTGCCACCGCAGACAGGGACGGCGCTTCCGCCCGCCCTCCTGCCTGGGAAAGCTGCCTCGCAGGGGCAGGAGGGCCGAGGAGAGCCCAGGAGCGGCAGAGCAGAGCCACCAGGAAGCCACACCAGATGCCCGTGTCTGTGTGCCCCTCACCCTGCCCAGCTCTCCGGGGGCTCGCGAGGGGCCGACAGGTGGGAAACCTTTTCCCTGGGACGGGGAGCAGGCAGGCGCACAGCAGCGCCTCCCGCCGCGGGCCACACCCAGGGCCTCAGTGAGCTCGCCTGAGCTGGATCCCCAAACTCCAGCAGGTACCGACACCTCTGGCCTGCCGGGCCCCCGGTCTCCGAGGCAGGCGCAGAGCACAGCCCCAGGAGTGCGCAAGCAGCAGGGCGCTGCCCTCACCCCTGCTCCTGTGGCACATGGCGCCGAGCACAGGGAGCCCTGAGGGTAAAAATAGCCCGGGTTTTATTTCGGTGCCACGTGGGAGGCAGCCAGGAGAACTGGGGCAGGCAGGGCACGTGGGTGGCCGCCGGAGGAGCCAAGCAGGCACTGGCCGGCCCTGCCCGCCCCGCAGAGCGCCGAGGCCTTCGGGCACCTGGCCGGGGCCACCCGCACGCCCGCCACTGTGTGTCTGCAGACAAGCGCACGGGAGTCCTTCTGCAGCCTCGCCCGGGGGCGGCGCTGAACCCCACTACGAAAGCTACCGCAGTCCGACCAGCACAACCAGGCCACGCCTGCGAGAGGGATTCACACAGCTGTACCTAAGGCCAAAGTCAGGGGCGCGATCCCCACCACACCCCGCTGCCTGGCACGCGCAGGCACACACCTGTCCCGAGTGAGCGCAGGCCGCAGCCTCCGGGAGACCGGACAGCTTGCCTGCAGGAAGCGTGCCAGGGGGCGACCCCGGCCTCCACGGCCCGGCGGCGGCGCGTGGACTGAGCCCACGCGGGCTCAGGCGCGCACGCACGCACACGCCGGCCCACGGGCACAGCCACCACCACTGTCAGTGTCGCACGTGGCCCCCGCACCTGTGTGGGAAGCCCAGGACCAGCTTCCGGGGCAGGGGAGCGGCAGGCGGCGGCTCCAGCCCGAGGAGCATCGCGCGGCACAGTCGGGCCCGAGGTGGCAGCGGCGGCGTCCCTGCCTGCCACCCTGCTCTCGAGAGGCAGTTCTGGGCGCACACAGTGGCGCAGGCTGGGAGTGGAGTGACCAGCAGGGAGAAGGGACGTCTGGGGGGACAGCGGGGAGACACCGAGTGGCACACCAGACTCACTGTCCGCAGCACATTCCCTTCGCCCGGGCGTTTCTGCAGCGTTAGCAGCACAGCCCAGGGTGGGCACGTCCCCAGGGGACCTGGCCTTTCAGTCCCGACAGCCATGCTGGCTAAACTCCCCACATCCCGATGGCGGTCTGTCCGCACACAGCGTGGCCTCCTTCTGGAGCGTAAGGCCTGGGGACACCTCCATGGGGCAGCCTGACCCGCCCACAGCTCGCCCACCTATGCACCCCCGGGGTGCTGCCCGGCACTGCCTCCAACATCTGTGTGGAGACTGCTGTGGACCAAAGCCTCCGAGCTGTGAGCACCCAGCACGGGGTAGCTCTGAGGATTTGCTTTCTAACGAAAGAGCAAAGGGCAACCCGGGGAAGCACCTGCCGGCCGTACGAATGGCCAAGTGCTGAGCTGGAGCCTCCGCCAGAGCGACGTGGACACAGCAGGCTCAGAGCATAGCCAGAAAGAGGAGACTGAGGGTCAAGCTGAGGCCCAGCACAGCCAGACATGAGCTGCCCCGACCGGGCTCTTGGGCCCAAAGGGTGCGTGTGTGCAAGGCCCCTCCGAGGACAAGCCCTCCCGAGGGGAGGCTGGAAGCAGCTACGAGGGCGAGCGGGCCGGTCCAGAGCAGCGCGCCGCCCTCAGAACAGGAACAGGCTTTTCTAAAGAGGGCTACTTTCGGGGCTCCCTGGTGGCACAACGGGTTAACACGCAGCACTATGAAGCTCTCCAAAGCCACCGCAACACGAGTTCGGTCCCAGGCCAGGGAGGGACCCCCAGGGCGCAGCAGACCTCGCCTGTCCCCCCGCTGCTCCCCTCAGCAGTTTCAGTCCGTCTGCCTGTCCTGCTCCCCGCTGTGTCTCTGGTGAAGCCTCTCACCCTCCACACCTCTGGCCTGCACCCCAGTTCTGTGAACATAAATAAGTCTTAAAAAAAAAAAAGACTACTTTTTACAAGCACTAACTCCATGACCGTTTCCGTCTTTTGAACATGACTCCAGGTTTCAAAATTATACGTGTACGTGATGTTCACAGCTATTTATTAACGGAAGACACTGCAGACACGTGGGCTCAGCAGCGCCCAGGAAACATGCCCTGACTGGAGGACGCGCGGAGCAGCGCACTCATGGACATGACACTGGCCGTGCGCCGAGGGGCCCGGGCGCGCCGCGCACCCGTCACTGGCAGTGCGAGCAGGGAGGCCCTGTCCTCAGGCTCCGGGCTCTGCCGCGTCACGCGGGGAGCCAGGCGGGCAGAGGAGCACAGCCTGGGGCCTGGGTTACGGGGCCGAACGCGGCACGGCCTTGTCAGGACGGGGCGGCGGACACCAGCAGTTGGCTTCGGCAGGACGTCACGCGCGCACGTGCTCACCGACGCACCTCGCCCGCCACACCTCGCACGTGCTCTCCCTCGCCGCCCCGCTCACCGGATGATGTCTGTGTACTCCCGGTCCCTGCCCTTGCTCTCTTTCCACTTCCTGTACATCACCGAGGCGTCTACGTTGGCCGGAGAGAAGGTGTTCGGCTCGTTGAGGAGGGAGATGACGCTCAGGAGGATGGTCCTGCAGGAGCATGGGGTCAGTGGGCGGTGTGGACTGTCCCCCGGCCATGCCACTCAACGGGGAGGGCAGGCCTGGCTTGCAGCGTGAGGAAGGCACAGCTTGCGTGGCGGCCACTCGCAGGAGGCCGGGCCCCACCCCCGGCTGCGCTGCGGCTTCCGGGCACACCCTCACCGGGAGGCACGGCACGGCGGGCTCGTCACTGCTGACGTGCGTTAGGTCCGGCGGGGCTGGGCTCTGGCCTCCCCACCTGCCTCTTCCCACCCCCCCTCACACCCTGCTTCCAGATAAGAAGCATGTGGGCAGCCGTGCTGAACCGACTTGTTCCTATTTGAGGCTCCCCACCCCTGGGGTGACTGGGTTCCTTCATGCTACCAAGTCATGATACCAAGTCCTACTATGGCCTGGGGTGGGTGGACAAAGGACACACGGACGAGGAGACAGGGCGCCTGCATCTGGGAGCCGGCCTATCAGGGCGAGGGCTCTTGGCCCCAAAGTACTCTTGGGGAGGCCAGATGCACTGCAGAGCATGGTGGCCCCGAGGGCCCAGGTTTGTCCTCCACGTCTGCACCTCCAGGCTTGAGGAAACCCCACAGAAACAAGAAGCTCAGGAACACGGGAGGCGGGGCAGGGTGCGTGCCTAGTCCAGCCTCACCTGACGTTCTGGGTGGGGTTCCACCTCTCCGAGGGCAGCTCCCCACTCTGGGGGTCGTCGACGGGAGGGTGGAGGATAGAGATGCACACGTCCCCTGTCTGTGTGGGATAGGGAGGGTCAGCGCCACACTGGTTCCTGTGGCCCCAAGTCCCCTCCCACCCCCACTGGAAGGGTCAGGAGGGGCATGCTCACCTCATAGATGTTAGGGTGCCACATCTTGGTCAGGAACCGGAATGCTGGCGGGGAGTAAGGGTAGTCGATGGGGAACTTGAGGCGTGCCTGTGGGAGTGGGGGAGCAGACAGCAGGGGGCTTCAGCTAGGCCACGCTGCCACAAGCATGAAAACCAGGAGGGGCCTCCCTGGTGGCACAACGGGTTAGAGCGCAGCACTATGAAGCTGTCTGCAGCCACTGCAGCATGAGTTCGATCCCCGGCCAGGGAGGGACCCACAGAGCGCAGCAGACCCCTCCTGTCTCCCCACTGCTCCTCTCAGCAGTGTACTTTGTCGATCTGCCTGTTCTGCTCCCCACTCTGTCTCTGGTCAAGTATCTCACCTCTCACACCTGTACCCCGGCTCTATAAGCATAAATAAATTAATCTTAAAAAAAAAAAAAAAAGCCAGGCAGGACATCACCTACTGCCTACATCCCTCACAGGTCAGGGTGACAATCACAATGGGCTGCCCTGGGCTTGTTCAGGGTCATTTGAACTGAGCCTAGCCCCCACTCAGCTGTTGAGGAGTCAGTACCTGCCCAGGAATCCTGGCCCCCAAGTCCCCGTCCAGGGAGCAGAGCCCAGCACAGATGCGCGGACCCAGTTTTTAGGCAGGGGCGCGGACTGAGATCCACGTTCACTGGGAAACCACTCCTGAAGCCCCCGCATCAGCTGGTGGGCATTCTGCCCACAGGGGTTCATCTTGAAGGGCCGGGACACCAGGAAGGGCCAACTGCCTGGTGGCAAAGTCACTCAGCCCTCAGCAGGCCAGGGGATTCTGCCTGTGTGAGCCCCAGTCCCAGTCATCAGGAACGTGCTGGGCTTTCGGCTCTGGGGGACAAGTGGGGCGCTGGGGCACGTGGTAGGACACCCCTGCCATCTCTGGAGACCCACACTGAGGCAGGGGGCACTTAGCATGTCTGAGGGAAGCCCGAGTCCTGGGTGGCAAGTAACTAGTCAGTGCCACGGGGCGCAAGCCTCGAACTCAGGCCTCAGGGGTGGTGGCAGCACCCTTGGCGCAGCAGGCAGGCCCCACTGCAGCCAGCACCCCCAACATCCAAGCGTTCACAGAAAGTGGAGGGAACTCTCTGGCACCTTTCTGGGACTAGGGCATGAAGGCGAGGTGATGGTGCCAATCCCCGCACCTTCACATCTCCTACGGGTCCTCCCCACAACTCTCCCTGCAACTAATCCAGGGAAATTGGCTGAAGCTGGGGGTCAGGACCACCTGGTCCCTCCAAGGCTTCTCTGAGGACAGACCCTTTGGCATACTGAGCCCAATCTGGCAGAGTCCCACCCCCAACCCACTCTTCTCTAGAAAAACTGGCATTAGCCCCCAACACCAGCCTGGAGGCTCTGGCGATACCCCTGGCGACCCACTGGTGGAAATGGCCAAGAAACTGCGTCGTCTTAAGAGATCTGGCCTGCTCCAAGGTTGGGGCCCTGATGCTGCTCTGAGCAGGGCAAGTCTCGTCTCTCTGCTCCCCAAACAAAGAGCCCAGGGAAGGGGGCTGGCTAAATAATTTGGCTCCAGATCTGTTCTCTGCAAGGGGAGGGGTGCTCACACTCACCCTCCATCCTGCCAGGGCTGAAGGACCACTCAGGAGCCACCCCAGCAGGCCAGGCAGCCTCAGGGCCCTGAACAGGCACAGCTGAAACACTAGCTCCAGGACGCAGACACGGTCCTGGGCGACGGGACGTGCCCTGCCCGCCCAATCTGGCCTGGCGGTGGTTTCTAGCTGCCACCCGGGCACAGGAGGACACGGCAGGTTGTTGGGCTCTCTGCAGGCTGATGGGGGGGTGGGTGTGGAGGAAGCCCGCTCCCCACCCAGTGTACAGGAAGACCCCGACTTGCCCTGAGCTCTGCCAGGGGTCCCTCAAGGCTGTCAGCTCAGGTCTGGAGGTGCTGAAAGCGGCCCTGCTTTTGGCCGAATCCTTTGTCATACCAGACAGAAACACCCCCGGTTCCAGGGAGAGGACCCCTGCTATCAGCAACAGGGAACCACTTGGGATGAAACCACCGGAGCACAGAAGACAAGGCCAGAGTGTGAGATCTGGGCCCGAGGGAGCCACCTCGGCGGGCGGCAAGGACACCGGTCAGCTGGGGGACGGAAGCCAGAGCGGGGGACCAGAACCAGGTGCTGGGACCAGGTCTGGGGGGTGTTTCCGTCGCAGGGCTCAGGGGCAGGTGCAGACGGGAGTGCGAGCCGGGCCTCAACCTTCCCGGGAGAGGTCACCCAACGCCCGACCTGGGGCTTGCTGCTGGCAAGCGCTGCCCTTTTCCAAGCCGGTCTCAGCTGCCAAGGCCCCGGCGGGCCTGCGGTGGAACCTGAGATAGCGGCAGAGCCGGTCACGGCAGGGCTGCCCCCCCCACCTGCTAGCTGGTTCTGGGGAGTCCTCTTTGTCTTCTGGGGCGAGGGCCGGAAGGGCAGGCTCTCTCGAGGGGGACCCCACACCAAGACAAAAGGAGGGCCCGGTCCTCTCCGGGGAGTTGCCTGGGGAGAGGGGGCTAAAGCCGCCGCAGAGAGCAGCCGCGACTGTCCGCGAGTCCGGGGACCAGAAGCCGCGGGGAGACTGAGGGAACCCCAAGCATGGTTGGGAAAGCCGGCGCAGACGCCGGGAAGGGCGACGCCCCCCGACAACAGAGGGTCCCCCGGTAGCGCGGGGGCTGCAGCTCACCTTGAAGTAGCCGCCCTCGTAGTAGGTGTTGGGGGGCCCGAAGATGGCCACCTCCCAGTTGTACAGGTCGCCTTCGTCCACCAGGGTCACCCGGAAGCCCTCGACCGGCTCCTCCTGCAGCCCCTTGAGTTCGAGCAGCAGCGCCTTCTGCGAGCTGGGCACCAGCGGCCGGGCCATGGCGGCGGCGGCG